TGTAATTCCCAACAGGATGAATTTAATCTGGGTGAGATTTCCTCCCATGACCAGGTGTTACCTGCTGAGGCAAAAGCAAGAGAATATCACACTGATCAAAAACAGAGATTTGCTTTTGGACCCTATCTAACTCTTATCAGTGACCGTTTCAGCTGTTACATTTTAAATATTCCAATATATTTTCTAACCAAAATTATATATGTATTTTATGTTTTTCAGATGAGGTATTCAGAAAAGCACCAGGATCCGATGTAAATTTGGAGCAAGAGAAAACCCCAGTCCCAGTGAAATCACAGTTTAGAGACGAATGACCTCTGGACATTTTCTGTTGGGTTTTGATTATCATTCAGTCACCAAACCCCATTTGTCAAAATATTTGAGCTTATTCACAATAGATAACACTCACACTGGTAAATTAATGATTTATACCTTTCTGAGCTACAGCATGCTGAAGCATCCTAAACACATAGGCATTAGGTTGCTTGCTTTAAAAAGGAATTGATATTACAATGTTCTGATTCCAATGGTTGATTTCTTAGTGACTGTATTCTGCTGACAATCTGAAATGTTGCATTTCTTTATAACAGAATAATATTCATCCTCATTTAACTCTTAATTAAATCAGTGCATCTTGCTTTAGCTGCCCATGTAAAAGAAACAGAACCTGCACCAGACATTGCTCCCTCTTCTCATGAAGAAAACTCACTTTGGTAAGACTGTTCTCTGACAAAACCAGGAAAAAGACGACCTGAGGACATGCAGAAGCAAGCCCACTGCCTCAGTGCAGGTGAGGCTCTGCTTTCTGTTAGTGTTACCTTCTGTGCCTTTCTTCTGCCACCGAGTGATGGGAGCCAAGGGTTTATCCCCAGTGCAGCAGAGAACATCCACGCACCAGCACCAGCTCTGTTAAGCACCTGATGTGAAGAGAGGGGAGCTCCTGCCAGACTCCAAGAGCCCAGCTTGTGGTGCTGGGGCTGTAAATACAGTTACATGTGCTCTCCTGGGAGGAAGCCTCCAGGGCTGCTCATGCTTACCCAGAGGAAAACAAAGAGAAGGAAAAGCAAAGGGTGTGAAATCACCTCTGAAAGGCATTGTGGTGCTTGGGCATCTGAGAGACATGGTGTGATTGAGGCATCCCTGATCACAGATATACAGCAGCAGTGATGACCAGCTTACGTGATGCTTCTGACATACCTTTGGACAATTCAAATGTTTCACTTTGACATTGGCAACAGAATGAGAATGGGTTTAGAGACATTTCGGATCTTGCAGAGGGTCCTGAAATGAAAACTGATGCACAAATTACTCCATCTCTGCATTTGCTGCTGTCCCTTCGTGCACTCTTGGAGCCCAGTTTTCCATCCCCAGTGGGGTTATCCATATGTAGTGTCTGGATGTCCAGCATCTGAGCTGGTGACTCTGGGCTTCCACTGCATTCAAGGGTGAGAAAGGGGCATTTTGAGGCAGGGGTGAATTTTCCCAGAGTGGTCTAATAGGCCTTTGTCCCACTGACCAGCCCCAGCTGGGGGTCCATCCCCACCTGCTGCCTATTTGTTCCCTATCTCTATTTTAGCTCAGCCTAGGGAGCTTGTGTTTTATTAGAGCAGTTGTGTTTTCCAGTTTAGTAGGGGTTCTGCACATCTAAGGAATCCTTTGATGGTGACGTAGGCTTTATCGAGGATCTGTTTGGCAGTTTCTGGACTGGATGCTGGCCAGGGACTGACTTGACTTAGACTTGTATCTGCTTCATCATTGCCAACTTTCCTGATGCTCAGGAATCTTGGTTGAACTTGCCCCCTGTCTGTGTTCCTGCCCTACTTTTCTTGCTCAGGTACTGTGGGATGGTTTCTCCACACCGTGGTGTTCTTCTTTGTCTCTGTTTAAAGAGATTAAGGAAACAAAGCCCTGTGGCTGTCCCTATGCTCCTGCAGAGTAGAACCCATCACCCTCTGCACTCAACAGCCCAGCCAGTGCTCACTGCCGTGGCAGTCCCTCTCCATCCAGACTGTGTCCCTTCATGGCTAAAAAAGGAGTTATTCTTCTCAGTAACAGAGTAGTAAGGTGAACTTTATTTCCCAGTATTTTTCTCTGGTCATTAGTTAATTCTGTTTTACCAGGTATGATATTAGACATCTATGGCAGGACCTCTTTTATATACCTGGTATGGGAATTTGGTGTCTACAGACAGGGGTTTCTGCATTTTGTAGATCCCTTCTTTGCAAAGATTGAAGCAGAATCATGCAATGGTGCTTTTGTCATAAAATGTATTTCCAGAACCCCAAGCCTGTTCCTTGTATTGCTGGAATTGACAATTGTTCCTCCCCTGTACGTTAGACTGAGGCTCCTCTTGGGAGTTCCCAGAGTTGGATCCACCACACACAAGACTATGGCAACCCAGCCCTCCCTTTGGCATGTAGCACCAAGTCTAGGTAAACCTTTATGTGTTTCAGTTGTCCCTGCTTTGGAATCTTTCTTAAACCAAAGCATAGATAAGAACACCAGTGTGGGGTAATTCATCAAGCAGTCATCAAGCAGTGATGAGCCTTACACGTGACACTTCTCATCTAGGCTCCCTTTCCCATTAAAGCTTGGACCAGGTGATCTCTTGAGGTGAAACTTGGGTTTTCTGTGGCTCTATGATTCTGTTTGTATATATTCAACAGGTCTCAGGTACAATATGCAAGAAAATAGAATGAAGAATCATATAATAGTTTGATTTAGAAAGGACCTGAACATCACCTAGTTCCAACACCCCTGCCATGGGCAGGGACACCTCACACTAAGGCATGTCAACCAAGGCTCTGTCCAACCTGGCCTTGAACACTGCCAGGGATGGAGCATTCACAACCTCCCTGGACAACCCATTCCAGTGCCTCACCCCCCTCACAGTGAAGATCTTCCTCCTTATATCCAATCTAAACTTCCCCTGTTTAAGTTTAACCTGTTACCCTTTTCCTATCCCTACAGTCCCTAAGGAAGAAAACAAGGTGCATTGAAAGTTTCCAAGAAGCTCTCTGACATCAAAGTCTCTGTCCTGCCAAGCTCTTTAGCAAGGTATTACATCAATTCTGGCTCTCTCACTGATCGCCGATAGAAGCCACTTTTCCCCAGACCCAGGATAACGTCTCTTCTCTTGCTGCTGTTTTCCAGAGCACACAAAAGACACTGTTCACGACCCGAATACTTCCCAAATGTAAGTTAATTGTCGCTCACAACAGGTAAAGGAAAAATATTTTCCCACATGTCGTGGTTTAAGCCCAGGCCATAAATCAGAACCATGAACTCTACTCCCCGCCCTCACCACTTTCTTCCCTCTGCTCCCAGAGGAATGGGAAGGAGAATTGAAAGAAGGCAACTGCCATGGGTTGAGACAAGAACAGGTTAGTAACTGAGGTATAACACAAATCACTGCTGCTACCACCAATAATAGTAATGATCAAGGACATAACAAAGGAAGAGAATACAACACCTCAGCACCAGCCGACCTATACCTCACCCCACCCTGCAGTCCCAGCCATTCTGGGTAACTCCTAGTTAACCTCCTGGCCATGATGTGTTGCGGTATGGAATACCTCTTTAGCTAGTTTGGGTCAGGTGTCCTGTCTCTGCTTTCTCCTGGCTTACCCTCCTCCCTGCAGAGCATGAGGCTCACAAACTCCTTGGTCAGACCAAACATCTGAGCAGTAACTAAAAACACCGGTGTTATCGGTGCTGTTCCCAAGCCGAAAGTCAAAAAACACAGCACTGCACCAGCTACTAAAAAGGAGAAAAAATGATTGCTACTGCTGAACCCAGGACACCACACCAGTGGGTTTTTTGCTTCTTTCTGACCCAGACAGCTCTCAGTTACCACTGATTCTGGGTTCAGGTTTCTCTTTAACCTATGGAAACTTGCCTCATGCTGTATTTGTAAGTGCAACACACCACTTGGTGTTTCCTGGTGTGCTTTAGTGTGAGCTGGGCATGGACATGGGATGTGGGTGCTTATCTCCAGCTGGAATTCCATTTATCCCACCATTTAAGTAAAGGGAACTTAACCTGAGTGTAAAGCACCACTTAAAATGAATGGGAGGACTTCTTGATAAGCCTAGCTTATAATTAACACCGGGTAATCTCAGCACAGTTCATCAGTCTGTGTTATGAATTACATTTTCTACAGTTCCTTACTTGAAGTGAAATCTAGTCTGAATCTGAAGCCTGGGGAGGGATTCCCCTTGGTATTAAAAAGTGCAGCTTGAGATCTTGATTCCCACCAGCTTCTTCTCTTTGAAAGGCACAGACAAATGCAATGAATCTTTTGAAACCTTTTCTCTGACTCTTTTTGAGCAAGCAAATGTAAAACTACACTTCCTCTTCCCTCCCACCCCTGCAGCTTTAATAAAGAGCTCACAGGCAAGAGGAATCTTACTGGATCTGAGGGACAGGGTCAAGAATCTTGTAAGAAAAATCATATTTATGCATGACAAAAGTTGTAACTGAATGCAGCTGATTGGTGTTTCCTGTGAGGAAAAGAGGCTTGAGTAATTGAGGGTAATTTCTTCCAACAGTCTGGTGACTGTGAACTGAACTGAAGTTTGAGGCTCAGTCTCCTCTTGTTTTCTTTCAAGAAGGGTGTGATTTTGGGGGTCATTTTCTCATTGAATACTGTCATAGACTTTTGTGCAGAAACTGTGGAAGAACTTCCATAAGGTCCTGAGTATTAATGGAAAATCCCAATATTTCAGTGCCCCGTAGGCTTTCACAATGGACATGAACTGCTCATATCCTGAATGACAGAACTCTTCTATGTCACCAGTGGTTGAAGACCCTCCTTGTACACTTGTCCAGAGCCCCTTTCACCTCCTTGTTTCTCAGGCTATAAATGAATGGGTTGAGCATGGGTGTGATCACAGTGTAGATGATGGAGGCCACCTTATCCAGGTTCCTGTGGCTAGATGGAGGTTGTAGGTACATGAAGAATGCTGTCCCAAAGAACAAGGTGACAGCCATTAAATGGGAGGTGCAAGTGTGGAAGGCTCTGGCCCTGCTCTGTGCTGAGCACATCCTCAGCACGGTGCGGATGACAGAGATGTAGGAGAGCAAAATGACCACGACTGCACCCACTTCATTGACAGTGACAAAGGCAAAGATGACCATTTCACTGCTGTGGGTGTCGGAGCACACGAGCTTTAGAACAGGGACAACATCACAGAAGAAGTGGTCGATGTGGTTGGGACCACAGAAGGAACCTCCAAACACGCACCATGTGTAGACGATGGCACTGAGGAAGGCGAATATGTAGGATGATGCTATGAGCTGCCAGCAGACACGGCTGGAGATGATGGTCACATAAAGCAGGGGCTGGCAGATGGCAACGTGCCGGTCATAGGCCATCATGGCCAGGAGGTGACACTCAGCACTACCAAAGAAAGCGAAGGTGAGGAACTGCATCATGCAGCCAGCGAAAGAGATGGTTTTGTCCTCTGCTAACAGGTCTGCCAGCATCCTGGGGGAGATGACTGTGGAATAGCAGGTGTCAATGAAGGCAAGATGGGTGAGAAAGAAGTACATGGGGGTGTGGAGGCTGGGAGACACCCGCACCAATGTGACAATGCCAATGTTCCCCACAATAGTGACAATGTAAATCAGTAGAAACAAGACAAAAAGAGGGATCTGTGCACATGGGCTGTCTGTAATTCCAAATAGGATGAATTTAATCTGTGTGTGATTTCCTCCCATGACCAGGTGTTACCTGCTGAGGGAAAAGGAAGAGAAACATCAAACTGGTGAAAAATGGCGATTCAGATCTGGACCATGTGTAATGCCAGTCAGTGACCATTTTAAATATTACATTTTAGTGTATTCCACTACATTTTGTAACTCACATTATCTATACTTAATGGGTTTAAATCGAGGTATTTCAAAAAGAACAAGGAGCACATTGAAGCAGCAAACGTCATTGTTAGATTTCTCTTTTGGGACACTCAAAACTATGGATTTATTCAAGCATGTGGGTTTTTCAGATTTGAGAAAACAATCAGATCTTCAATAACTTTAAGTTCAGAGGCAATTTGTGTCAGAGGACACCTTAGAGGAACCTCATAAGTGTGCACATTAACATGAATCAAGGGGAAGTCCCAGTCCCAGTGAAATCCCAGTTTACAAGTTAATGACCTCCAGATATTTTCTCTTGGCTTTTGATTATCATTCCAGTTACCAAATCACACTAATCAAATTATTTGAGATCATTCACAACAGATAAAACTGACATTGTTAAATTCATGTTTTACTCCTTCCTGGGCTACAGCATGCTGAAGCATCTTAAAACCATGGGCATTAAGCTGCTTTCATTAAAGAGTTGATGTTATAACAGGCTGAATCCAAAGGCTGATTTGTTAGTGACTATATTCCACTGATGATATAAAATGTTACATTTCTTTATAACAGAATAAGATTCATCCTCATTTAACTCTTGATTAATTCAGTGCATCTTCCTTTAGCTGCCTGTTTAAAAGAAACACAACCTGCATCAGACATTGCTCCCTCTTCTCATGAAGAAAACTCACTTTGGTACAGCTGTTTTCAAACACAGCTTTACAGAAGAGGACACGAGGACGTGATGAATGAAACCCACTGCCTCAGTGCAGGTGAGGCTCTGCTTTGTGGTGTTGTTACCTCTTGTGCCTTCCCTCTGCCACCGAGTGATGTGAGCCAAGGATTTATCCCCAGTGCAGCAGAGAACATCTACGTGCATCTTACCTCTGTTAAGCACCCAGTGCGAAGAGATGTGAGCTCCTGCCAGACTCCAAGAGCCCAGCTTGTGGTGCTGGGGCTGTAAATACAGTTGCATGTGCTCTCCTGGGAGGAAGCCTCCAGGGCTGCTCATGATTTACCAGGGGAAAACAGAGAAAAGGAAAAGCAAAGGGTGAGAAATCACCTCTGAAAAGAATTGTGGCGCTTGGGCATCTGAGAGACATGGTGTGGATGATCCAAATCTGAGAACAGCTACATGGCAGCAGTTATGGGCAGCTCATAGGATGCTTCTGACATACCTGTGAACCATGCAAATGTTTTGTTCTGAACATACACAATGGAAATGGGTTTAGAGACATTCCAGATCTTGCACACAGTCCTCAAACGGGACATGAAGCACAAGTGACTCCATCTCTGCAGCTGCTGATGTCCTTCTGTGAATACTTGAGAGCCCAGTTTTCCATTGCCTGTGGGATTATCCACATGTAGTGCCTGGAATTCCAGCAGCTGATCTGGTGCATCTGGGCTTCCACTGTATTCAAAGGTGAAAAACAGGAATTTTGAGGCAGGGAGGAATTGTCCCACCTTTAACTAATAGGCCTTTATCCCCCTGAGCAGCCTCAGCTGGGGCTCCATCCCCACCCTCTTCCTATTTTTCCCCCATCTCTATTTAAGCTCAGAGCAGGTAGGTTGAGCTTTACTAGAGGAGCTCTGGTTTCCAGTTTAGTAGGAGCTCAGCACACCTATGGAATATTCGATGGTCACCTAGGATTTCTCATATATCTTTCTTGCAATTTTTTCACCTGATCCTGCAGAAGGGATTGACTCGACCTGACTTGGCTCTGTCTTGTGTCTGCCTCCTCATCACCAACTTCCCTGATGCTCTGAAGCCTTGGTTGAACTTGGCCCAGGTCTGTTCCTGCCCTACTTCTCTTGCTCAGGTACTGTGGGATGGTCCCTACACACCAGGGTGCTCTCCTTTAGCTCTGTTTATAGAGATTCAAGAGACAAACCCCTGTGCTCTCTCCAGGCTCCTTCAAACTAAATCCCATCACCCTCAGCACCCAACAGCCCAGCCAGTGCTCACTGCTCTGGCAGTCCTTCTCCATCCAGAACATGTCCCTACATGGGCAAATTAGGAGAAAGACTTCTCAATGATGGAAGTAGATTAATAAATTGATTCTTACATTCAAGTGTTATTATCTTATCCTTAGTGCCTTCTTCTTTTCCAAGTACAGCATTAGACTTTTAGTCATCAGTAGATTGACAACACTTTGTTTTGGAAGTAGCTTTGGCACAATGTTTATCTGCTGGTTTTGTTACAGTGGACACCAGAGCTTCACTGACACCAGGGACTTTGGTTTCCCCAACCTCTTCCTTAGGCATCCAGGCTTGCTTTTGAACCATTTTTGAGTCTTGCTTTCTTCCTACGACTGGTGTGTGCAACAAGACCACAGACAATCTGATTTATCTACACTCTTTTATTGCCTTTAGTGTTTCTTTTTTTCCCCCCTCTGTCTTGGTCTTTTCAGATGTACACTTGACATGGCTCTGGAATGGACTGGAAAGCCAAATGATTCCCAGACTGTGGCAGTGTGCACTACGGGGGGATCAGGCTGATCTCTAGTGGGAATCCGTGTAACATGCACTTTCCTTTCACATTTGGCTGTGGAAACAGGTTCTCCATAACCCCCATGAAGGTTTTAACCTGCCCGAGGGGAGACTGAGCTGAGCTCTTAGGCAGAAGCTCTTCCCTGTGAGGGTGCTGAGGCGCTGGCACAGGGTGCCCAGAGAAGCTGTGGCTGCCCCATCCCTGGCAGTGCTCAAGGCCAGGTTGGACACAGGGGCTTGGAGCAAGCTGCTCCAGTGGAAGGTGGCAGGGCTTGAACCTGGATGAGATTTAAGCTCCTTTCCAACACAAATCATTCTGGGATTCTGTGATGGGCTTGGGAGCATCCATCAGAGCCACCAGCAACAGGGACAACCCAAAGCATCCCTTCAGAAGGGCCCTTTCCCCCATTGCTGCCTATTTCACTCCTTTACCACACTCCTCATCTGTTCCTCCCCATCTCCTTCCTTCCACTTTTGGGCACTGCTCCCTCAGGCTCTCCGTTGTCTCTTGTGCTCCCACCACAATGGGTGGAAGAAGGTGAATACCATCATTGAGGAGAGCTCAAGGACTGGGGCTGCCTCAGTCCCCAGAGATTTTAAGAACCAAATTCCCCAGGAAGCCATCTCCAGGCAGAGGAAGGACAGGAGGGTGACCATGAGGAGCCAGTATGGATGTACAAGGCCAAGTCATGCTTGACCAACCCGAGTGCTTTGGGTGATGTGAGCATTGATGCTTGCATGGACAAGTAGTGGCCAGCATTTACCTCACCATTAGCAAGGTCACCACAATCTTCTGTTGGGTCTTTGCAGCCAAACTTGTGAGCGATAGTTTGAGTACAAGGAATTAAAGATGAGTGGAAAGCTGGTTCATTGTACATGGTGTTTGACATTGCTGATGGACACTGGTACCATTTCCCATCAATAAGGTCCCCCTCAGCTCCCTGCCATAATAATGTCAAACATGGCCCCTATGAAGCTGTAGCTGCCTCAGAAATGCTCCAAAAGTGGATGTGAAAGGTGGGGTTGTTCTGTGGTTTGTTCTAAGGGAGCCCAAAGCCCTGTTGCTTGCTCAAGCTGAGGTCATCTCCTTTGGGTACACTTCTCCAAACCAGGCAGTACAGAGAAGAGATAATGACCTGCTGTGGGCTTTGTCACCTCCTGGGACCCAAAGGGATTCACAGTCCCACATCCCCACATCACTTGAAATAGGAAGGGGGTTTGCTGATGCTGGTTCATTCCCAGGCTCCCTGCACAGCTCCAGGCACGTTCATCTCCACATCCATCTCCAAGAGCATCAGGAGGACAGCAGAGACAGAGCTGAGATGTAAGTGAGGGGCAGAATCTCTCAGCCCATCATTCTCCTGTGGTTCTCTCTTGCCAACAAGCAGCAGTTCCTGTCTGCATCTCCTGCCCTACTGCAGGGTCCTGGGCTCCATTTCTTGATGATGCTCTGGGCTTCCCAGGGAGCTGCTTCTGCTGTGTCCTCCCCATGCTGCTGCTGAGAAGGCAGGTTTGGAGATCACCCTGCTGGAGAACACCCTCAGGAGGCTTCCTCTCCTCTGAGCACAAAGGTTTCCTGGATGAGCACCAGAAGCTTTCCTGTACAGGACATTCAGGGTGTTCCCCATTGCTGAGATGAGGCAGGTTCAAAAGATGACTTTATTCCCCCAAAAACGTGTTCAAGAAGAGATCGCTGAACTCTGGAGATTGTCCATTTCTACTGGAGACTCAAGGAATAGGTTAAAGAATGATGAAAAGGTTTTGGATCTGACAGAGTATGTCAGGAGAGAGGAAACCGATATAAAGCACTGTGTAAGGTTGCATAGGATCATAGTATGGCTTGTGTTGGAAGAGACCTTAAATCCCACCCAGTTCCTGTGATGGGCAGGGACACCTTCCACTAGAGCAGGCCTTTCCATAGGTCAGGGATTCCTTCCAGTTAGGAAGAAACTGAAGCAGAGAGGGAAGAAGCAGGTGGCTGGCAATGCCCATGAGAGGATGAAGGATCAAATCTGCACTGTGAAAGCACCACCTTTCTCTGTGTTCCAGGTTGAGACGGGGGCCCCAGGCTGAGCACTAAGATAGGCGATGAAGTGCAGCACTGAGGTAAGGTTACTCGGGCGTGCAACCTCCCCACTGCTTTCCACAGAGGTCATTGCTCAACATCTCAAGGTGAGCCAGAGGAGCACACACCACGTTGTGCCATGGTGTTTAACTGCTTCAGCACCCCTTTGTTCTACCTGTGCTGGCACAGGACTGTCCCCAACCTGTTCCTCATTGATCTGTGCCTGAACTCTCCCTTTCCATCCTGCAGGACTGTCTCTGAGCAGCTCCCACCACACAGAGGCTTTTCCACCTGGGACAGCACTGCCTCT